GTCCTCTTGGACCCCACTGCCTCTATACAGAGCTGAGTCAGCATGGGCCCTGGCACCAGACATACAGAGGCTGAAGAGCCAAGGCAGTGCTGGTTTTGATCCAGTTACAGAGCTGGTTTGGATCCAGCTGGGAGTTAGCCCCTTCTGGGCTGAGCTCCAGCAGATTCTGCATGACTCTCCCATGTTCTGGGGTCCAAGAGGGTGTCTGAGCTGGGTGCAGCTGGATCCAAGCACTCTCCAGCTGGTGCCACCAAGCTGCTGGAGGACAGCACGTGGGGCAGGCACCAAAGCATCTTTGCAGCAGCTGCCTGGGCCAACAAGGCTGGCACAGAACCACAGCTAATAAATCCACCTGGACCAAAACTGTTCCCATTTTGCAATGACACCAGCCTGCCTCTGTACTGGACTCCCCAGGTGCTCCACATTTTTCCATGATGCAACTGCTGAGACATCTATTACCACACGCAACGGAGAGCTATGGCAGCACTATCCTGTCACTGCCATTTCTCCTATGAATCCGGGAGTCTGGAAAGATGCTGTGTCATAATGGGAAACGCTGGTGCTAGAAATGAGTGTTGTTTGGGGATGATACTAAGAGATTTTTCTATTCTCTCAGCCCGACTCATGTTTACTACCTAGCAGAGAGAGAACTGATCTGGCTGTTGTGATCTGATAAATCAGGCTTGGATTTTTGCACTGGCCTCCTTCTCCTCTATTAATTATCAGCAAATATGAAATAATGGTGTGACAGCTGAGACCTGTTGTTACCAGGCAATATCTGCAGTTCAAACTTGAAACCTTGAAGGCTCAAGTTAATTTTGCTGAGATACACAGCAAACCAGAGGAATCACCAGCAGGTCCAGTAAAGTAATACTTCTGTCACAAGTGAACCCTCCTAGGTCGTTGGTCCCTGCTTGGATGCCATTGTGGGGATACACTGACTGTATGTAGGCTGAGCATACACATATTCATATGTACAGATATACATATACTTACATATATGTTTGTATCTATGTGTTTGTGTATACATATATAAAGCTAGTTTGATGTCTTGACTCGTAAGCCCCATACTTTATAAATGCCTGCATCAGGGATGCTTGTATTAACCAGAAATCAGATCCCCATAGACACAAGGAACAATAAATCCCTCAGTAAACTGGAACGACCTCACTGCTGAGCTGGTTTCCTCCCATGTCCCATTCCAGGTAGTGGAATGAGCGCTATTTCTAACCCCAAAGGTGTTTTCCTGAAGATCCAGAAACACTCAAAACTGGCAATGTTTTCTGCTGCTTCATTTGCTATTCTATATGACCTACCAAGGGCCTGTTTCCACACTAACATTGGTCGGCACGTCCAGGTCTCCTGTGTGGCCAGGAAATGCAATTTATGCTGTCTCACCAGTGGGTTTGACTTACACCCAAAGCCTATTGCTATTTTATCAGCCGGGCTGCTGGTTATCAGCTGATTTCCTTGCTTTCAGGTAGGTCACATAATTTAAGGGGGAAGGGGAGAGCTCTCCCCTCAGAGGAGCACTGCCTGTCATATTTTAAAACTTTTTCTGTTCACATAGGAAAGGATTAAATAAGATGCAGGAGTGCATGCTTGTGTGCATGCCGGCAGGCAGGCATGCCAGCTGCCGGCAGCAGCGCAGGCACCTTGCAGGACATGGGAACAAGGACATTCCCGAGGCAGCCAGATTTCCCAGCACGAGGAACCCGTCAAAGCTGCTTATTTCCAGCCTCAGATCTCCACCAGTTATAATTGTTTATTTTGAAAGCACTCGGGGAACATGAAGCAGCACACTCCTAAACCAGAAGTAATCCCGTGCTGGTTCTTCACGATATGTGCTATTGTGTTAATATACAACCAGGCTGCAGGGCAGGAAAATATCTAGGTCTCGTCCATATAAGGAAGTGAATTGCTGCTGCTGTAGCATAATAAGCATGTTCTGTAAGGAAGTTCAATGTATTTATCTTCTAAAAAACTAGGTTAAGAGATAAGTTCACCTGCCTATAAGCACTTTTTTGTAAAAAAAATCAGCAAAGCTGGAATAAGATTCAGAGGTTGAAATCTTGAACCAGGCAACTCCAAGCACGAAAAGGAGTGTACATTATTTAGTGGGAAATAACCAGCCATTGGAATAATATTGCTAGCGCTCTGTTGAATTCAGTATCCTGGAAGTATTTTTAATCAAGACTGATTTTTTTTTCCTAAAAGATCAGCTTGAATTCAAGCAGGAATTAATTCAGGGAAGCCTAAGGCTGGTGCTGTGCAGGAAGCCAGGCTACTTTGTTACAATAGCTCCAATTAGCATTATAACCTGTTCATTACCACCTTCACTCTGAAATTTCTAAATCACCTACAACTTTAAATCACCTTCCCCCCAAACCAGAGTGAGGCAGGTAGGCAGGCATGGCTGTGGCAGAATAACTCTGCCAGTCAGTTTTTGCACCTAGACAAGCCTTTACTCAAAGCAGTTGTCAGAACCATTGCCATGCTGTAGACAAGCTCTGCCTAGGGAGATTGACCAGCACAACTATCACAGAACTACCTGATTATTCGAGAATAAATCACTTTTATTTTGGAATACACTGTCAACACTGGGGACTTATATTGGCAGAGCTGAGAGAGCTATTCTGGTCAATTCTCCCATGCAGACGTGCCATACATGTGTGATAAGGCTGGAGAATAATCCCCCAGGAGAAGCAATGAACATTTTATTGATTGGGATATTTCAAACTTGTGCAGGACAAAGCAATCTGCTATGTGCTGAATGAGCGGACAAGATGGAATTGAGGGTTGGGTGTTTTTCCATCTCTAATTTCTGTGTTTAGTTTAGAGAAGACATTTTGAACAACACTAGCAAGTGGGGGGGGGGGGGGGGAGATCTATATCTGGCTCTAATTCCACCAGAGGTGCTGTCATACTTGCAACATTAGTGGTAGGAGAGGTCATTTCCTTGAAATTAAGACAAATGTGTGATGCTGAAGCCACAGGTATGTGTAACAGGCCACGGGGACCTCTAGAACCAACCCAGCGCCCCACACCCAGGCTGTTCACTATCTTTTTTCTTACCTTACCAATCCCATTTGCAGGAGAAGTGCTGGGCCAGGAGCTGGAAGGAGGTGGATGGGAAGGATAGGAAGCTTGCAATGAGTAAGTGCTAGCTGCACTGCTGGCAGCAGGATCAAAGCATGGCTGAGATACAGGGGACACCGGTCGGTCATTTCCAGCATATCGATAGCAGCTTTCCCTGCCTTGATGCCAGCCCCTGCGCAGAGTCACGATCTCCGCTGTTTCCACGGCAGGAGCTGCAGGCCTGCATCTGCTGCCCTCACGCCCCGTGTGTGCTCGGGCAAACACCACGCGCCGCTGCGGCTCTCCCGGCTGCCTGCGCGGGGAGGCAGAGCGGGAAGGTCGGTGAGGCGAAGAGGCAAAACTCGCTTGGGGTTGCAAGGGGTCTGCCAGGCTGGAAAGGCGCCTGATAGCCCATCACATGGTGCAGGGGTGAGAGATGGTGCTCAGCACATAGCCAGAGCTCTCCGACACCCTGCGGGGCACTTGGGCAGTCCACAGCAAACACCCGGGCACCAACTTTCTCTGTCCAGAGGGAGCATGATTCCCACCAGCGCCCAGGTGCTGTTTGCAAGGGAAGGGCTATGAGCAAAGGCAACAAAACCAGCTGAGGCAGCTGGGGGGAAAAAAAAAAATCAAGTGCTATTTCAGAGATCTGAGAAAAGCACATTATGCCTGAAACATTTTCCAGCCGCATCAACTGGTCTAATGAAATACATCACTTCTCTCCCCACAACCCCTGCTATGCTTCTGTCCTTCACAACTGCAAGAGCATAGCTGCTATAAGGGCAATTAACACCGCTGGCCTTGCCTCCGAAATCCCCTTAATTGTGCCCTCTGCAAATTGCTGGGTCCCAGGACATTGCAGACCAGACATTTTGCAGCAGTGTCAGCTGAAATAAGGAGTGGGGGATCGTACTGACCCATGTTTGACACTGAGCTCACTGCTGACTGGCCCGGCACATGGAATGTGGTATTAATTTTAATTTATTTCATCCTGACCAGCAGTTTGAATTCACAAGGTGCCAGAGTTTGGTATTAAAAAGGCTCCTTTATTATAAAGCCCCATTAAGAGAAGGTGGGACCTTTTGGCATGCGAGTATGGCCAGATGGGTCTTTTGTAGGCGGAATGATGAGTTGGGACTGTGGGATAACTGCTTTAGCAGGAGAGTAGGTGCAGCTTACCCCAATACCCAGTCTACCTTGAAAGTAGTTTAGTTCCTGTATTGCTTGCCATGTAGCAGGGTGGTGCAGAGTTCAGCACAGGCTGCCCATCAGCGCTGGAGTAGTTAATGACATCGGCAGTGACATTCTCCTGATTAAATTTCAAAGTTAACGCTGCAGGAAGGAGAGTAAGGCAGCCGGCACTTCCCTGTACTGTCCTTATGAGCTATTTGCAGGCGTGTCACCGTGTCTCCTTCATTCAGGTCCTATCGGGAAGGTTTTATTTATTTATCACCACAAAAACGCGAACTTTATTTCTGTAAATAAGGCTCAGGCAGCAGAGCACAGACCCGTACTTCGTGGCGGGCTGTGGGCATAACCCGCGTCGGCAAATGGCTGAACGTCCAAAACGCTGCTCCAACCACCACATAAAGGACACGGAGAGGGGCTAGCGGAGCGGGTGTCGTTCCCTCACAGAGGGGCTGCCACCCGTTGCCTCCTTCACGCCCCGGCCCTGTCGCCCACTGCCCGGTGCCGCCGGACGAACACGGTGCCGCTCACCTCCTCCGGCTGCTGTTAACCACCG